GAAACTTTCTATTTAGACACCATAAATATTATAGGAAAACTTTGTTAACAACACATCCAAAGCTTCAAAGTTTTGTGGGTTTTTTTTTTTAATTTTTTTTTTTTTTTTTAAGATTGAACTTACTCTTTATGGAAATTAAGTAAATAATATTATATTTTCTATTAATGATCAAGGAATAAGTACAAAAAAAAACTAAAACAAACACATATGTGTCACACTCACACAGAAACAAGCAAAAGTGGTGTGCACTGAAACAGCACTCCAAACCAACATCTAGACACGAGCTTGCCTTGACATTAATTACGAGTAGAGAAAGCTTCAACAAGACTTTTATTCAAAGCTCTCTCCAACCATGCCTCAGACGGTGTACAATGCTAATTCACTTTCTTATCCTTCACACAATGCACGCTCAATCAGAACCCGGAATCACCTCATGGCTAAAAATCCTTTCAGGTATCATTTCGCAAATACATCTCTATATTCGCTGGTTGTGCTTGGTATCCCCTTGAAGGGAGTAGCTGAGTTAGAGTGCTTGACGGTGCTATTGTGACTCCAATAGGTCCCAACAATGCCAGTGATGGGCATCTCATCTGGACTTCTACTTGGGGACTCCCTTGGTGAAGAAGAGGCTGAAAATTGCTTGATTTCTTCAAGGATGAGGGCACCTAAAATAGGCCTATCTTCCAGGCTTATCATGCAATTTGATCCCTGTGACATGCTTTTTTCGGGCGTACAAGTATTGACAGTGCTGCTCTTTACTGGAGTAGTTTCTGTTGAAGACAACCAATTTGAAAGGCTGGCATTAACTGCTACTTCTTGGTTCAACTTCCTTGGTTCATGATCGGATTTTGATTTGTAACTGAAAGGCAACTCTTTGAAGCCTGGTTCCGAGCTAAATGAAACCCGGGGTTCTTGGTCCAGGTTGAAATTGTCCTTTTGTTTCTTCAATGGTACAGCTCCTCTTGCTTTCACAGCTTTCCATTGAGTTAGGTTTTCAACTGGATTTAGCACAGCATGGACATAAACACTCCTATCTCGAACACTTTGATTTGAACCAATTGGTTGCAAAACTTCCTCAATAGAACCATCAATGTCCTCTTTGACTACCTGTGCCCCACAAATTCTTGTCTTTGATTCCAAAATTTCATCATCAAGATCCTCATCAAAATCATCATCATCTAATGCTCCACCGTCATCATCAAGATCACTTTCTTCATAATCTAATTCATCACCTTCATCATCACTTTCTCTGCAATTCAGATACCTATGATTTGGAGGAAAAGATCTAGAGCCAGACATAGACATAATTGAACTATGCTCCGAGGAAGATTCAGAATGGCTTGACTTCGCTAAATTCTCCTCCCTCCCTTTCTTGTTGTGTTCATCATTCTGCTGTGAGAAGTCAGTAACTTCATCGAGCAAAACATGCTCATAGGTTTTGATATTGGCGTCAAATGTTACTTTCTTTCTCGCATTTGGGCTTTGCTGCGGCTGCGGGTGCGGGTGCGGCTGCTCCACAGGTTTACTGCTATACACAAAACATGCAACAATTTATTTTAAAAACAAACCAACCATGTATCTCTTAAATGGCAAAAAACAAGCAAAAATGAAGAAAAAGGAAACAGAAAGTAGTGGAAATCAGAAACCCCAGAATTTCAATTACTTACCGGACAACTGAAACTGGGCTGCTGGACTTTTCTGGGTAGTCCTGTATTAAAGAAACTGAGGACTGCACATTGTACCCTGAATTTATCTGCAAAATTTCTCAAAAAAATTTAAACAAAGTCAATTGATCTATACTGATAACTAAACAAAACCCAAAATTCTATATCTCATTTCCCAATCGGAAACAAAAAAACCAAACCAACTGGACGATTCATAATAACCATAAAGAAAGAAGGGAACATTATACAAGTAGTTTCTTTCTAGTTTTCCTTCACTTTCTCAGCAACCAAATAAAAGATGAGAAATTTCCGAAACCGAAGAAAAAAAGTACAGATACGTACCCGGACTCGAGGTTGAACTTGAACCGTGTGCCTCAGCTTTCGCTGCCTGTGATCCTTCGATGAACCAAAACAGGCAAGAAAACAACCCATTGTAAACAAAAAGCTACCCTTTCTTTTTCTTCTCCTCGGAATCAAGAAAGACTGTTGCTTTCTTGATGGGTATCCTTGTGGAGAAGAAGATGTTGGGTGTCCGTTAATGGGTCTTCATGGTTTTGCAGACTCGAAAGAGAGGAGCTAGCGTGGGATTTGAGAAACGGTCCAGTGTTGGGCCTCTAGGGATTTTTATTTTATCTTCGTTTGGGGTAGAGGGAAAAAGGAATTGACCGTTACGCACATGAAAATTTTTAAAATAAAAAAATTATACTCTTTGCTTACAATCTTATATCGAACCGTTAATATTTTGATCACTGGTACGCCCATGTGTGTTTAATTCTTTTTATTTTTACTTGGTTTAAAGAAAAAAGAAAAAACAAGAGGCCCTAACAAAAAATTTGTCAGTACGTCCCAAATGTCTTCTCCTACTTTACCCTATTTTTTTCATAGTCAACTCAATTTGTCTCTCCCAATTTGCCCCCAATTTCTAGAAGAAAAAAAGGGTTTGTATGCAATTCCTCAATAGTTATTTTGAATCTTTTGTTTTGCTAAAAGCAAGCACATAATGTTTTATTTCACAGTTGGTTACTATTGAACTTGGCTGTTTTTTTCCATAGGTATGGTTTCATTATGTTTTCTCTTCCCCCATGTATTTGTTTGGGTATTATTCTAATTTTTTTTTCTTTTCTTTCCTCATTTTTTGTCTTTCTCAAAGATAGAGGAATGATGATTCGAGCTCATAATTAGTTTTGTTATTTTTGTAAAGTGGAATTTTGTTTCCTTGCATTTGTTATGTTGATAGAATCGACATAGAGGAAGAATTAGAAAGAGCCCTTGCTCATCCATTGAGAGAGGAGGAAAAGAATTTCAGCATGACTATGCTTCAATTGGGAGAGGAGAATGGGAGTGTGTTCTGTGTGGGTAGGGTTTCTTGTGAGCAGAATGGGCAAATTGAGTAAGATAAATGAAGCACACCGTTTCATTTGGAATGTCTTGGTAATTTTTTTGTGAGGGCATCTTATTTTTCTGTTTTCTTTTAGTTTAATCCTCTTCTCTTTTTCCCTTTCAATTTTTTTTTAAAATTTTTTGTTTAATACTCTTTTTTTCCCCTCAACTTGAGTGTTTTGCATCAATTTTATACCTCAACTCCGGTTCGCATTTTTCTTGTTTCTCAACTTGATAAATTTGCACGAAATACATCATTCCATAAACACTCGTCAACTCCCATTGAACTCCAGTATAACGTGTCCTGTTAGACTAACGACTTACTCCCCTCTTTTTAAAATTTTATGCTTAAAACATCATTTGATTCCTCAATTTTTAAATTTATATTGAAATTATTCTTAAACTTTAAAAAAATATCAAAATTATACTTGAACTTTAATTTTTGATACTAAAATAATTCTTCCATTAACAAACGTACCATATGAGTTGTTATCTTACTATAAAATCAATTTTTTTTTTAAATTCTAATGACATGTAAAATCAAATGGTCATATTTTACCACTGTGATATATTTTCATTTACATATTAAAATGACATATAATTTAAGTTTAAAGACTAAATTGGTATTTACAATCAAAGTTTAAGGACTAATGTTGTACTTATTTTCAAAATTCAAGAACTAAGTTGGTTATGATGTATAAATAGGAATATGCCTTGGTGGTAAAATGTGATTGTTTGATTTTATACATTATTAATATTTTAAAAAAGAATTAATTTTGTGATAAGATAACGAGTCATATAACACTTTTATTAACAAATTTTAGCATTGAAAAGTAAAGTTTATGAACAATTTTGGTACTTTATGAAATTTGATAATAATTTTGATATTTTGATTATATAAATCCAAAAGTTAAGGGATTAAATTGATATTTTAACTAAATTTTAATGACTTAACAATTCTATAGAGGAAAAAATACATAACTTAAGAAATTTTAATATCGCCTCAATATCCTAAGAATTCAAAGGTGGTTATTTTAATTTATAGGAGTTTAATGTTACCTTAATATCATGGGTAAAAACCTAATTTTAGCCTTTTATCTTATTAGATTTATAAGTTTTAACTATTCATCTTATAATATAATACTTTTAGCCCATTACCTATTAAAATTAAAGAAAATAGCATTTATTTATAACAATTTGTTAATCCTATTAGTTGACTATTAACTTTATTAGTTGACTATTAGTTGATTGTTAGTTAGCAAAAACTTACTTTCAGCTAATAAAGTTAATAATCAATTAACAGAATTATTTTCTTAATTGATTGTTAATTTTATTAGTTGACTATTAGTTAACTATTAAATGACAAAAACCAACTTTCAGTTAATAAAATTAATAATCAACTAATAAAGCTAACAATCGATTAATAGAACTAATAAAATATTATAAAGTGAAGATTATTTTTTTCAATTTTAATAGATGGGGAGCTAAAAGTATCAAGATATAAAGTGAAAAGTTAAAATTTACAAATCCAATTAAAAGTAAGTTTTTTCGCCAATATAGTGAATGCTCAAAGGCAGTTATTTTGAATTTGTAAGAGCCACCATGTACAGTAGAAGAAAAAGAAAAAGAAAATCCCCAACACCTTTTAACTTTCTTTTTTTAGTGAACTTTAAACTTTAAAAAGAA